AACTAAGAAAACAGAGTAGTAGTAAAATGCACTGGAATTAAGAGCGAGGGTTTTGAGGTCTAAAAGAATTCATTAATATCCCAGCTCTGTGGCTTAGAAAGTATAATCTCAGGCAAATTACATAAATATCCTGAGTCTCATTTTTTCAGCTGTGGTGTAAAGTCTAAATGAATTAATATATGTAAAGCACTTTGTACAGTGTCCAAAATATATGCACTCAAAAACAGCAATTTCATCCAAAACTGAAATTACTGAAGAATAAGGTATCTGTATCTCTGAAAAAGTCACCCGATGAACTGCTACATAAGAGAACTGGCGGACAGAAACCAAGTTCTTAGTCTGTTGGGATACCATAACAAAAGACCACTGACTGGGTGGCTTAAATAGTTTGGCACAGTTCTGGAGGCTAGAAGTCTGAGATCAGGGTACCAGCATCATTGGGGTTACGTGAGAGCTCTCCTCCTAGCTTGCAGACAGCTGCCTTATCACCGTGTTCTCACAAGGCAGAAAGAGAGAGCAAGCAAGCTCTCTAGTGTCTCTTCTTATAAGGTCACTAAGCCCATCATGATGGCCCTCACCTGCATTATCTCCCAAAGAGTCCATCTCCAAATACTATCATGTTAGGAGTTAGGGCTTCAAAATGTTAATTTTGAGGGGCACAACTCAGCACCAAGTTTTATAAAAATGAAAAAGAAGTTGGTAATTCTTGGTTTGGAAACAGAAAATGTAAACTCTGTATTTGTTATGAAGAAGGTGTAAGCATGCTGCGTTACTGTGAGAACACAAGACTTGGTGCTCTATGACTGACTAGTGGATATGGAAAGGAAAAGGAGGAATGTCTTTTCTTCCTATACGTTTGTTTATCTTAATTTAATGTAGTTAAGTTATCTGGGAAAGTCTTAATTTCTCCTTCATTGGCAGGTTTTTTTCTTTCAGTACTTTGAATATAGCATCCCATTTTCTTTCTGGCCTGCAAGGTTTCTCCTGAGCTATCTACTGACAGTCTTATGAGTGCTCCCTTACACATGACAAGGTGCCTTTCTTTTGCTACTTTAAGATTCTCTGTAAGTATTAACAGCTTAATTATAATGTGTCTTGGTATAGGTCCCTTCGGATTAATCCTAGTTATAATTCTCTGAGCTTCATGAATTTTTATGTCCCTTTCCTACTTCAAAGTTGGGAAGTTTTTGGCCATTACTTCAAATAGGCTCTCTGCCCCTTTCTTTCCTCACTTGAGACTCCCATAATGTATAGTGAAGTAATAAGAAATATATATATTGGTCTCTGCTCCTGGTTTCTGACACAGAGCTCCTAAAATCCTCATAATTTCCTGAGTGATAGGAGCATCTGACACACAGCTCCTAAGTCTCTTGGAATTTCCTATGTGAATAGCATCTTCCATTCTAATGAGGCAACTCTTGATGGATTGCAGGACAGGGGCTGGATACCAGAAAAAACAATCATAATTAGAAGCTTGAGACTTTCAGCCCCACTCCTCATATTCTCTGGAGAAGGGAAAATGGTGGAAACTGTGTTAATAATCAATTATGCCTACATGATGAAAACACCATAAAAATCCTGAAAGTACAGAGTTTAGGGGGCTTCCAGGTTGGTGAACACATATACATGCCAAGAGAGTTGCACACCTCAACCTCATGGGGACAGAAGCTCCTGCTCTTGGGACTTTTCTACACCTTGCTCTATGAATCTCTTCATCGGCCTATTCAACAGTATTCTTTAAAATATCTTTTATTATAAATAGGCAATAGTAAGCAAACTGTTTTCCTAGGTTCTCTAGTAAATTATCAAACCCAAAGAGGTGGTTGTGGGAACTTCCCATATATAGCCAAGTTAGAATTTGTGGGTAAGTGGGCAACCTACTACTTGCGATTGGCATCTGCAATAGGGGGGGAATCTTGTGGGACTGAGTCTGTGCTAACTCTGGTTAATGTCAGAATTGAACTGAAATGTAGAATATCTGGCTGTCAGAGTATTGATTGATGTGGGAAAAAATCCATACATCTGATGTGTGAGGTGTTACGAGTGTGAGAATGTAACCCAGTGCGTTTTTACTAGACATGTGTATCTTGGTCTGCTGGATGGTATGCCCTAAGTCCTTACAGGCTCTTCATTCTTTTTCTTTTCTTTTTTTTTTTTTTTTTTGCTCCCCTGACCTGGTAATTGCAAATGACTTGTCTTCAAGTTTGCTGATTCTTTCTTCTAGTCTACTGCTGACCCCTGCTACTGCATTTTTCAAGTCAGTATTCTTCTGCTTTAGATTTTTGTTTTATCCTTTATAGTTTCTATCTCTTTATTGATATTCTCATTTTGTTCATACACCACTTTCTTTATTTCATTTAGTTTTCTGTATTCTCTTTTAGTTCACTCAGCGCCTTTATGATTATTCTGAATTTTTGTCAGGTAACTCACTGACCTCCATTTCTTTATGGTTAGTTTCTGGAGATTAATTTTGTCCCTTGAATTGGGCCATGTTTCCCTGTTTCTTTGTATGCCTTGTTATTTTTGTCGTTGCTGAAATTTGGGCATTTGAAAAAAGCCAACTCTTTTAGTCTTTATGGACTGGCTTTGTACAGGGAAAGATCTTCACCAATCAGCCTGGGATCCTCTCAAACCTCTTCTGTCAATGTGTTTGTTTCCTCTGGGCTTGTGTGTGTAACTTCCCAGCTGAAGACACTTACTTGTTTCTTTTCAGGAGCTCCCGCCTGGTGTATGTCAGCAGTACTACCCTCTCTGGGCCTTTGTTCTGAGCAGGCCCAAGTGTGCTCCTGCCTTTCCTGTCAGTGCTCCAAGAATCAAGGGAGACAGAAACCAGTTGGGCATACCCCCAAAAAGTCAGAATGGTGGGTGCACATTTCACCTTTCTGCCATGTGAAGGAGAAACCGTAGGTTGGGAGTTTGCTCCTGATCACACCATGCTGTGCTGTGTAAGGAGTGGGAGAAGGTATGCAGCTAAGTGCACTGAGATTTCCTACCTACTCTAATGAACCTCTCTGCTTCACCTTACATGTGCCTGGAGTGCTATAACCTCTCAACTGATAAGTTCTCACAGAGGTAATCTATGTACTGTTAACTTGGTGTCTCCGTAGGAGACAGAGAGGCTCAGCTTCATATTCCAACATTTTGCTGATGTCACTCTGGTTTACATTCTTAAAAAGTTTCTTTGTGGATTGAAACAGACTATAAATAAATATAATTCAGAAAATGTAACAGGTGACAGGTAAAAGTTCTCCATCTTTGGAGAAATTAAGCTACTTTTCATTTATTTTCAGCAAGTGCCAGGAGACCTTTCAAAACTTTCAAAAGTTAATCAATGTAAAGACTCACAGAATTTCCCTCCATCTCAATTGTATATAATTAGACAAAAAAGTATTGTTTTTTTCAATTAATAATAATTATTGGAAATTACATCAAATATCATACATGTTGGGAGTAACACTATAATTTTTAAAAGTTAATCCTTACAGAGAAAGATGGAGCTGTGAACTAAAGTAAATTCACAAACTATGTACCTAAATGTTCAATTATATGTTATTAATTTTGGTGGAACAAAAAAAGTCCAAGCCAATTATGAGTGTACCAAAAGACTCTTAAACCTTTGGCATCCAACTCTGATAACTTAACAGTGTCCCTAATAAATAGCAATTCGTTTGAAGTGATCTGATTTCCTGTAAGTATTTCTACATTAAATAAACCTGTGGCCAGAAATAATTATAACTACAGTGCTTATAAAAATTTCTGAATATACTGTTCATAAATGGATTTGGAATATGAAAAGAAAATCTATGACATGTTTATCATAAATATAAAAAAAAAGCCCTTTATTTTAAAAAGCTCTCCACAGAATTTAGTATAAAGTACTATCTATGGGGCACCTGGGTGACTCAGGTCATAATCCCAGGGTCCTGGGATTGAGCCCCACATCGGGCTCCCTGCTCAGCGGGGAGCCTGCTTCTCCCTCTCTGCCTGCCGCTCTGCCTACTTGTGTTCTCTCGCTCTGTCAAATAAATAAAATCTTTAAAAAAATAAAAAATAGGGCGCCTGGGTGGCTCAGTTGGTTAAGCGACTGCCTTCGGCTCAGGTCGTGATCCTGGAGTCCCGGGATCGAGCCCCGCATCGGGCTCCCTGCTCAGCAGGGAGTCTGCTTCTCCCTCTGCCCTCTTCCCTCTCGTGCTCTCTGTCTCTCATTCTCTCTCTCTCAAATAAATAAAATCTTTAAAAAAAAGTAAATAAATAAAAAATAAAAATAAAAAAATAAAGTACTATCTATTAGTTTGTAAAGTTGTTGATTACCTCTAATATTTAGTATATCGACTGCTCACAGTATTATAAGTTTATATAGTTCACTATTCCATAATTATCAATAGCCAATTATTCCTGTTAATTAAAATTAGGATAGAAGCTAAAAAATTGTACAAGGATGAATTTCACATAACATAAAAAGAAATATACCATTTTCTCTGAAAAACATCACATTGATATACTATGATCAGGAATATCACAACATATTCTGCATTCATAAATTTATGCAAAATAAATACAATACTGGACTAGAAGTCAAAATAGTTGATTTCTAATCCTAAAGTTCACCAAATTTTTAACTTCTTTGCTTTAATCTGTTAAGATACATTAAATAGTACAAATGAAAGCAGCATAAATTGAAGATACTATAATTTTAATGATCCTTCAAATGAGATATAGATAATTTGCTAATAGGCTCAATTCCCAAGCCACAAATTCTATGCTGCCCTCAGATAACAGGCCATGACTCTCCCTGACATACATTAAAAATACTATATAAAACATAAGAAAATCTAAGAAAGGATAGAATAAACCCATAGAGTTACTAGGAAAATACCTATAAATACTTTAAAAGAAATTGTGCTGAAGTGAAAAAGCTGAATGCATTATAATAAATAATCATTTAAAAAGAACACTACATGCAATTACACATACAAACACACATGAAAATTAGCACTTACCAAAAGGCTGTAAAATTGCTTAATTAGAACAGATACTACTCTCAGCAAACGCATGCAGATAGGGAAATACGGTTTTTCAACTGGTGCCGGAGAAGATGAAGAGCCGGAACCTTGTCTGAACTTTATATTTGGAGAAAAGAGTTTTATCACAAGAGGACATACCCTTTCTTTGAGAAGGAAACTAAACTCTTGGTGCTATTTGCAAGGATAAAAAAAAAAGAAGAATTAACTTAGTTTGTACTTGATACTTTTAAAACACAGTCTTACTAGCAAATAAAATTAATAATCAGTATGAATAATTTAGCTTTATTATATGCTTAGCTTATTATTCTATAGTTTACAACAATTATGAAATTAGTGTTGCTCTTTGAGAGTGTAAGATCAAAATGATCATCAATATTTCAAGAAGTTTTAAAAAGAATCTAATTTAAAAAGGAACATTTAATGATTTGGAATTAAGTGGTTTATTATTAGGAATTGTGATTTTGGTAGGACACTAGCAATTCAAAACAAAGAACAGAAGAAAGAAGACAGATTATACAAGTTCAAACACAAAGCTAAAGCATTTAAAATGGGCAGCTGAAAGAACACCAGATAAATAAAATATGTTATATAATTCATTAACTTTACTTTGCCAAGATAACAATTCCATTCACGCATGGAAGATTTAATAATTAACTTAATATTTTGTTCTACTTAGATTGCTTGAACAGAACCCAATAAGCTGATTTTTAAAAAGAACTCAATGACAAACAAGCATAATTATTTTATTTTTTTAAAGTTTTTATCTCTTCAATCTCTACACCCACCATGGGCTCAAACTCATGGCCCCAAGATTAAGAGTCGCATGCTCCTCTACTAAGCCAGCCAGACACCCAGAGTAATTATATATTTTAGAATTATCCAAAAGCACATAGCTACATATAAGCAAGTAAAAATTAGTAACAATTTTTCAGTTTTTAAATATTATAAAAAACAGCTCACATACCAAATTCCCTCATATACCCACAGGTTGGGAAACGCCTCACTAGACGGTCTCTAGGGATTCCTTCTAATGTTAAAATTTCAAAGTGCTAGGGCACTATAATAATGTAAGATAACACTAAATTATCACATATCTAAAGTCTAAAGCTGTAATTCTTTCAATCCTCTAACATGAGAATACATGTTACTTTCTTGAAAAATATCTGTGAAAAAATTTTGATTAATTTTGTTGCAAGATACTACAAATGGCTTACTTGTAAAAAGACCTGTGGAAAATCATTCAGGACTGACTCAAGCAATTCAAGGCCAAATGTTCGAGTCATTTCTGTCATGCCTACTAGCCAGTAAGGGGCATCAGCATTAACCAATTGACAAAGGTCCTGGGAAAATAAGTCAAAAAATAAATAAAAAATAAAACATTCACATGCTGGAATGAAATGTGCTTTTCAAAATTCATAAAATTTTTAAAAGTTATCTCTCCTTATATAGTTGTTTTTACTCCTTAGAAACTAAGCACTGGTAATTCAATTCTGACAAACTATTTTGATTATATAAGTAAACTTTTAAAGAATCATATAACTATTGACAATACATTAGGTGTACAGATAAATGGTTAATAGTCTTTTAATGAAAAACCACTTAAAAGAACACTTTAATAAAAAAACAGTAAAATTTTCAGTGCAGATAAATCTTATTTTACTTAAAAGACATATTCATGACAAGTAACATAAAAATCAGGTATTTGTATATCAAATTGTATTAAGTAGACCAAGGCTTATTAGTTAAATATTTATGTCATAGAAATTATTTTATATTACCAGTCATCCCTAATATGCCTCTTTTTCTAGTTCTGGGCTTAATTCATTTTATTTCCTTAAAATGAAATGTAACATTTTATCATGTTCCTTAGCTATAGATGCTCTTTAATGTTCTAGAACATTTTTGAAATACTACTTTCGACCCTTTAAAATTTGACAATTTAAAAAATTGACACTTGAGAAATTAAATCAGACATAAAATTCCAAAATCAAAAAGTCACACAAAACTATATTCTGAATAAAATTATTTTTATCAACTGAAATACCTGGAAAAGCATATATGCATCTTTAGCACAAGGTTTGAGGGTGCTGACAGATCTTCTGTTACTATTTCCTTGGACCAGTACTGGCTGTTCTATAATATCTGCAATCAAAATAAGATGGGTTTTAGGGGTGTATAATGACCTTTAATAAATCACATATACTATTTAAAATAAATACATGTTTATGAAATTATAAATTAAAAAAAAAAGATTTTATTTATTTGACAGAGAGAGAGACAGCGAGAGAGGGAACACAAGCAGGGGGTGTGGGAGAGGGAGAAGCAGGCTTCCTGCTGAGCAGGGAGCCCAATGCAGGGCTCGACCCCAGGACCCTGGGATCATGACCCAAGCAGAAGGCAGATGCTTAACGACTGAGCCACCCAGGCGCCCCATGAAATTATAAACTTTAAATGTAGGATCAGAACTGTGCCTCCAAAATGGGGAAAAAACATTAGGAATTTATTTTTATACAAAATGCCACAAAAACTACTCTTCACTACCTTATGTCACTTTAATAAGCTTAGCATCTTTATCCATACATTTGATTTTCCCAGTCTCCCATTCCCCAGTCCCTTTATTTTATGGATTTGAAATTCACATGATCTTTGAATGTGCCTTTAAACATCAAATACATAAAAGTTTACCACATGGTTAATTCCTATATCATCTCAGCATAAACAAAAGAATTAACTGTTTGATCTGCCACAATTACTATGTCAGTTATAGATACTAACTAGCTAAGCGTCAGCTACAAAGTTGCTTCCCAACTCAGCATTTCTTTGAATACTAATAAGATATCATTTTCTGTAAATTATGACAGCCTGTTTTAGATAAATGTTGACTTGATGACTACTTGAAAAAAAAACGAGGTTCTAAGTATTTCCACCTTATTAGAAAGTATTAAATGAAATACTGGTCTTTAGAGACACAGCTAAAACTACCAATCCAGGAATCACACTGCAGTCATGAATATATAACACATCCAAACTGGAGAACTGCCCTGTTTTATCCTGTAACTTTAATTTCTTCATATTTCAAACTCTAGAACTCAACCTGTAAATACAGGGAAAAAAGCAGAAAAACCAATATACCAAAGTAAGTGGAAATATTCTAATAAACCAACAAGAATGCCTGAAACTGGGGCGCCTAGGTGGCTCAGTCGTTAAGTGTCTGCCTTCGGCTCAGGTCATGATCCCAGGATCCTGGGATCAGGCCCCACATTGGGCTCCCTGCTCAGCAGGAAGCCTGCTTCTCCCTCTCCCACTCCCCCTGCTTGTGTTCCTTCTCTTGCTGTGTCTCTCTGTCAAATAAATAAATAAAATCTTAAAAAAAAAAAAAAATGCCTGAAACTGAATGTGAAAAATCTGACCAAAGGTTAACTTCAGGAAAAGTAAAGAAATTATTAGAATAGGCAGCATTACCATTACTTAATAGTATTGCCATTTTTTATCAGTAATACCAAAAGAACCTCAAATGAAATGACAGATAGCACAACATTAAGAGTTGGGGGTAGGGGGATTACATAGGGATTCTCCCCTATGTAAAAGGGAAAGATAGTTTAATCTTTTGTTTCTTGAGTACATAAAGTAGACAGGTTGCTCATGATGGTACCACCTTAGGATCTTTTCAACTAATCATGGGGAATAATTTACCTTTCATCCAATAACAAATGAATAAAACGTAATTTCTATAGTTAAAAGTTATCAAACTATAAAAACTACTACAGAAACAGTATCTTCAGTTCTCTGACATGTTTCTAAGTTTTTAGGAAATTTTTTAAAATCACAAAGAAAAAGATGTTTAAAATTACAATAAAGGTGTTTGATGAAAATATGAAAAGATTAAGCTTTACATTACATAAATATCCTTCATTAACACATGCTAATAAGTACAGACAAAAATTCACGTGAGGGAAACCCACTCTTGGAAAGTTACCTTAAAGAAGTAATTCAAATGGAAAAAAATATGTAGGAGGACACTCAAGAGAGTACTAAAATACGAAACACAATGTAAGTGTCCAATAGAAAACTAGTTCATTAAACTGTAGAATAGCCACCAAACATAGTCCATCCAATAAAATTTAAATTACAGGGCGCCTGGTTGGCTCAGTCAGTTAAGCATCTGCCTTCGGCTCAGGTTACAATCCCAGGGTCCTGTGATCGAGTCCGGCATCGGGCTCCCTGCTCAGCAGAAGTCTGCTTCGCCCTCTCCCTTCCCCCACTGGTGCTCGCTTGCTCTCTCTCGCTCCCTCTCTCTCTCAAATAAATAAATAAAATATAAACAAATAAACAAAGTAAAATCTAAGTTACAAAAATAAAAGAATAAAATGAAAAATTCATATAATGTCATATTTGGCTAAAAATACATACAATGCAATATTTGATATAAAATGTGAAATTATGCATAATTAGAAATAAACATGGAAAATAGAGTTTATTCTTGGGGTGATAACACTGCTGCAGATTTAGTTTTTTGAACTGCCACTGTCAATATAATAATATTAGTAAAGTAAATATATTTTTTAAAGTAGTCTAGTTTTTAGGCAGCCTAAGTTCACAGGGCAAAGACTGAAAATCAAAAGAGAAATCGTGGATAGAATAACCACACACTGTGAAAAGGAAACCACTTTTATCACTCTACCTCTGTGTCGTTCATCTTCAGCAACCATCCTCTCAAAAACAACAGTAACAACTTGTCGCACTGTAGCAGCAGCTGTATTATTTGTAATATTATCTTTTGTGAAGTGTAGTCGAAAACAAAGAACAATTGCCTAAAAGAACAATTTTCATTTAGTGAAATAGGACTGAAGAACAGAATAACTATTTATTTGATGTAACCCAAAACTAAATAATTTACGTTTGGCTATTCCAATCACAGATACTAAAAGTCCCACTCTCTTATACAATAAAATCACTAAAATCCTTGGATTTTGAAATAATTCAAACTCTGTAAATATATAGCCACATAAGTTTAGGTAAGACAATGTGAAATATGCCTTTCACAACTTGGTTCTTTTAACATGTATATAAAAATGTGTTGTGATGGGGCGCCTAGGTGGCTCAGTCGTTAAGCGTCTGCCTTCGGCTCAGGTCATGATCCCGGGGTCCTGGGATGGAGCCCCACATCAGGCTCCCTGCTCAGAGGAGAGCCTGCTCCTCCCTCTTCTCCCTGCTCCTACTCTCTCTTACTGTCTCTGTCTCTCTCTCAAATAAATAAATAAAATCTTAAAAAAAAAAAAAGTGTTGTGCTTTATTTCCCCAGAATGACTTGTTTTGCAAATAACAAGTACTCAAAGTTTGTTATATCACTAAATCATCTGGAGTAGTATTATATAAATATGCTAAGCATATAAATGAATAAAATTATAATTTTTAAGTCATTTTTTCTTTTTAAAAATCAACTTCAGGTTGATTAAGGTATAATTTTATAAAATAAACTGTATCTCTTTAAGGTATTTAATTTGATGAGTTCTCATAGTTATATTCACCCATAAAACTACTGCCACAATCGAGATACGAGACAGTTTCATCACCCTAAAAGTCTCCTTGTGCTCTTTTGCCCTCCATTTTTTCCTCTACCTTTGGCTCCAGGCAACCACCATCTTGCCTTTTTCACTACAGATAAGCTGGCATTTTCCACAAACAGCGTTTCATCATTCAGGATGCACTGTTTTTGTATCTGGTTTCTTTTACTTGTAATATTTGTAAAATTCATCTATGTTGTTCTTTGAATCAGTAATTTGTACTTGTTGATTCCTGAATAGTATTTCACAGTATAGGTATACCAAATATTTTGCTTATCCATTCATCTGCTGATGGATATTTGAGCTGCTTCCAGTTTTTAGCCACTGTGAATAAAGCTGCTGTGAACATCATATACAAGTCTTTGTAATGACAGATGTTTTCATTTACCTTGGATAAATAACTAGAAGTGAAAAGGCTGGATCATATAGCAAGTACAGGTTAAACTTTTAAAGAAAATGCTAGTTCTCCAAAGTGATTTTATAATTTCACACTCCCATCAGCAGTATGTGTGAATTCACCACTTTCCCACATCAACAACAACACCTGATATGGTTGGTCTTTTTCAATTTTAGCTACTCTAATGGATGTGTAATGATACCTCTTTGTGGTTTTAATTTGCTTTTCCCTGATAACTAATGATGCTGAGCCACTTTCCATGTATTCAATAGCCATCTTATTTTGTGAAGGGTCTATTAAAAAATTTGTGCAGGGGCGCAGTCTACTTTATTAGGCATCCATCATTAAAGGTATGCAAATTATAACTATTATTGAAAGTCCAACAAATTCCTTAATAAATAAACCATTAACTAAAGATTGTTCTTTATTATATTATTCTCTGTACTTTCTGTTCTTTAGAAATACTTCATAGTTTAAAAAAAAACTTTTTAAAGAGTGAAATAAATAATAGAACAGCTGTTAACATGTTCCAAAGAGGGTAGGAATGGGAAAGAAATGAGAAACCCCTACCATACATGCAGCCTTATCTAGTATAAATGCCAATTACCTTACCTTGATTTCAACTCTAATCTGGGGAAAATAAGGCACCAGTGGTTTTTAATGTGCAATGTCCATTATATGGACAGAGAAGCTGCTTTTGGTACAAACAGTACCAGGCTTTCCTCTTTCAGCGAGCTCATTCAAATACTGTCTCAAAGCACTTATGAACTTTGACAACAGATTTCCTACCTTAGAGAGTGATTCATCATGAACTACTGTATTGGTTGTTAAAAGAACAAGAACTGTTTGAAGTAGCTTAAGTTCTTCAAGACTGTTTTCCATTAGCTGCCAAAGCATATTAATTATATTTCCAGCTGCAGTCTGTAAAATAATTAGTTGAATTATTGTCAGCAAATAAAATATAAGGTGTTTAGGTCCCTAAATAAAAAAAGATGTACAAATATTACCTCACCTGGAGAGAATTTCTTGATCATAATAACAAACCCCATGTTTCTAGATCTATAGATCAAAACACATCTCTCAACTAATTTGAGATTCACAGCTAAGTAATTTTCTTCTCAAAAAAAAAAAATTTCTTTAAAATATACCATTTGAATATATGCAAATAGCTGCATACAGTTCTGAGATACCTAGTCAAAAATCAAAGCTCATTTCTACAATATGGGTATATTTCATTTGGACATTTATAAATACAGACATATGCAAATTAACTGAGACTGCTACTATTTCATGTATTATTCCACTTACAATATGTATACAAAAAACAAAATGCAACTCAAATTAACAACATATTTATAAAGTCAATTAAATCTGACATTGTTTAGAATGTTACATTAAAGGAAAAAGAATATATACTTCTATTAAAGTAACTTATGGAGTATAAAGTTAAGGTAACACCATTACATTTGAAAGCAGGATGCAGATTTGTAGTGATGAAATGTTTTTTCCTTGTTTTAACATAATAAGGTTAGATACAAACAATTCACTCAAATTAATGAACAACAAATTATCACTTCAGATAATCTAGGAAAATCATTTTTCCTCCTTTTTAAAAAAATTATAAATTTTATTCTCTTCAATGACACTGATCTGTATCACTGAATGGTGATTTCCTAATCATGACATGACAAAATGTACTTTTATTCATTATTCATGAGTGTTTAATAGTGAGAATATCTGGTGATCTTTTAAAATTAAGCCATGTCCTTATAGCACATAAACTGTTTTACATTAAATTATCAGGTTTGCTTCATTCTCCCCTAATAAAAACTCCTGATTTGATTCTTCGGTGCACAATTGAGATAAAATCTTCACATTACCTCAGACACGACTTCATGTGACATGAGTCTCTGAATGGCGGCCAAACACAGCTGAGTAATCTTTGGCTCCTTGGTTCCACAACCCATTAGAAACGGCTGAACAACCTCTGAGCTGTTTTCTTTCAAGGCTTTATTTAGAACACATATAAAATAAATATTAAATCAAATTCACAAGTAGGAATACATTTATATATTTTCTAGTATTAACAATCTTAATAAAAACCACTTTATGTAAATACTAAAATAGAAACCAAGCAGTTAAGAGTCAAAATACTTTGGATGGATACTACAGACTCTGTATCTAAACTACCCTCCTTAGCTACAGCTTTCCCATGCTTTTCTCCTAGCACTATCTTTTGGTTTTTCTCCAACTCCTGCTATAAACTCTTTAAGGACAACTTCTCAGAAGTTCTATCCTGCCTCGGAGAAGCACTCTATTTCTTCAACAGTGCAGAAGGGGAAATATGAAAAAGAATTAATATTCTAGAGAAGAAAAAAGTAATTAGAAATAGTATATACATCATCCCCATCACCCTTCAGAGGCTCTCTAGAATTTCATTACATGCCTTGAATTTACACAGCCCTAATTTCTTCAAGAAATAAACTCATTAAAAACAATAACATTACTCCTCTTATTACTAAAGCATTACTTTAAGTTAATTGGATGCACATGCTGTAATTCCAAATCTTAATTTAACTCCTTCCATCAAGCCAATTCTTTCAGAAGTTTTAAAGTAGCAACAAAAATGTAAAAAGGTAGAAAATGCACAAACTGAAGAATACTTTCTTAAATTTACAAAATGAAATTAAACCAGTATACACTTACTTAATGGCTATACAAAGATGAATAAGACAGGTCTGTAATCCTCAGAGAATTTAAATAGATAAAATGGAATTCCAAGGAAAGAGAACATTAAACTTATGTGTTTGGTATATGGTTTTCAAAGGTACTACATCCATCAATTATTTTTTGAGGTTAAGACTTGTAACTAAGACATACAAATCTGAGTTTTAACATGTTTTTTCAAAAGAAATCGTTAGTCATCCACAGTCACCATTAAAAATAAAAAACCAGTGTTAACATTAATTTCATCATTTAAATCCCCACCTTTCTTCTCCCAAAGCTCCCTTTATAGTATACTAAATAAAGTCCACAATCTCCTACAGCATACTCTGCAAAGTCCCTCAGTATGCCAGCATAAATTACTGATTTAACACAGCTAAGAGATGGCAAATATGATTGGCAAAGAACAGTGTTTCCAAAAGGGCTCCTTGCCTTATTTCCTTGCTTTCTTAAGCATAAAAGTTTTGATTCAAACCCAGAGTCACAAATTTTCCATAACAATGTCTCGAAACATTTATATGAATGGTTAACAAAGGACAGTAAAGCTAAAAAAAAAAAAAAAAAAAAAAAATACTATTCTGAGGCAGTAAATATGCTACCATATTCAAACCTGCCAGAATCTCTGAAGTATGAGGCTATTCCCAATTCTGCTGAACATGCTTAGTCATTAAATGTTGTTTAGGTAAACAAAAATTTCCAATAGTAACAAGTTATATTTATCATTTTTATGATGTTAACATGTTTCTCATTTGAGTATCACAGTAATCAGAGAGAGTTTATAGAGCATGATTTGGCTCAAGTGCACAGTAAGTGGTAAAGCCAGATTTTTAAAATAGGTCTTCTAATTCCTGGTTTGCTATTCTTCCCACAACATTATGCTGCCACTCTTTAAGGTAAACAGCACTTAATGCAAATAGAAGTTAAAACCTTTGAAAGTATCCAAGAGGAACCACTGATCGGCACTGCCTGAAGTCTTCAGATAAATGAAGGAAAGAAACTGTCTTCATAGAAGGAAAAAAAAAAACTTTCTTGAGTCTCTGATGACAATGACTTCAAGACACACTTGGGTATCATAAAGAAATCATCTCTTCATCTACTTATTGGCCATCTGTATGTCTCCTTTGAAAAAATGTCTATATAGATTTTCTGCCCATTTTATAATCGGATTGTTTGGGATGCCTCATTTATTGAAAGAATACTTCATTATTGTCTCTGAGGTCATCTTCTAAGCCAATGTCACCCGTTCCCCACATATTGATGCTGGTGCTTTTTTGACCTTACCATAAGATGTCAACAGAAAGTTTCTGTACAACAACTAGGGTGACATTTTAAATAGGAGTCAAACTTATGGGATATCAACAATGCACATAATTCAAATGATGTAATAATAATATGAATACCTATAAACAAGTTCACATATGCACTGAAAAAGAAACCTCCATACTACCTGGCCCACAATGATTCTAAGCTGCCATCAATTTTAAGATGCATATCAATTTGGGGAATACTAAAATGTGAAAAATCTGTGCAGCTTAGAATGAATAAAATAAGGTGAATTTCAGTGAAATGTTGTATACAGGTCAGTCACAGTTACCCAGGTGTCTCAAGTTAGGATAAATTAAAATAGTATTAAAAATAATTTTTAGGGGCATCTAGATGGCTCAGTTGGTTAAGTGTCCAACTCTTGATCCTAGGGGAGTGAGTTCAAGTCTGAATTGGGCTCCACACCCAGGGTGAAGCCTACTTAATAAAAAAATTAATAAATAATAATTTTTGTAAATTTTATTTTAATGTAACTCAAAGGAATTAAATATCTATCTCTTGCCTCCTTCCCATTTTTTTCTCCCAGTTTATATAAGAATAAAATAATCGAAAAGGAAGTTTCTATGTTATCCAGAATAAATCATCAATAACAAAAAAGATACAACCTATTGATCTGTTCTGTCTTTTGAAGCATAGTGTGAAAACGAAAACATCTACCATATCCAGATCACAATGCAGTAAGATAGATTATAACCAAAAAAAAAAAAGTTAGTTTTTTTTTTTCTTCTTTTAAAAGTGATAGTAGTCTTAAACAGAAATTAATCTTGCTCTTCTGAGAGACAGGTGCTCTCTCTTTATATACAATAATTTTAATGACATGCTATTTAAATGGAGCTTTATATAAAAACCTTCCTATGGGCTTAGACTTTAGAAATCACACTGAGGAAAAAGCTGTAGAACAATAGAGATATCTTGCTCTAACCATTTTTAAAACTCATTCCAGGAAAGAAAGAGAAAAAGGTCAACTCTTTTTAATCAAAACTCTCTATTTCATTTTCCTTTAAAATATAAAGACAGGCTTTTCGGGGGTCAGGAAAATAAAGTTTATTTTTTACCTAAGTTCTTTAATAAACATAACTCCTTTAATAGAATAACACTAGGTTGATAAATATATTTCCAAATTTTATAACTGTGAGAGCAAATGATACACTTTCACACACCTGGAAGAGGTCCAGCAGGTCCCCATATCCTAGGGGTTTCCTTGCTCTGAGCAGTTTCACTGCATAATTGTAGTTTTTATCCTGGAAAGAAAGAATTAAACTAGGATACCCCACTATGAATCACATTAATGGGGGTTAATAAAAGTTTCATTATGATAAATTTTAATGGTCATTAAATAACAAATTGTAATTCTTGTGAAAGAAATAAAATGTGATGTAGACATGACTGCTATCCTCAAAACCCCTTAAAATTTAATTATGGAAAAGACTGATATTTCTAACAACATTAAGAAAATATTTTAATGGTTCAAAAGATCTAAAAATACTTCAAGTGACTCAAGAATAGGAGGACAAATAAAATATGGGCAGTTTCATATTAAAAGTACATTATATGAAAAGGAAGGATTATTCAACAAATGATACTAGTACAATTGGTTAGTAATTTTGCAAAAGAAAAAAAAATCTAGGTCCTCACATCACTCACATATTATTAATTAAGAAAAAAATTAAACAAAAAAAAGAACTAAAAGAAAATAAAAATGACTACTACGTGGAAGGAGAAGGGCTTCCTAAGTGCAAAACAACAAATGAGAAAAGTCAGATTATGTAAAAATGAAAAACATCTAGATAAAAATTTAAAAGGTAAATGACTTGTAGAAAATATAAACATGATGGGAAGTCAATACTTTTGCTATATAAGCAGCTCAAATAATTTGATAAGAAAACACAAAAACTCAAAGAAATAAATGTAAAGTGAAAAAAGGAAATAATATATTCGGAGGAAGATGTTCAATACTAAAGACAAATGTCAATTAAAATAAGAAGTCATTTGCCTGTTCAATTCCCAAAAAGATTTTTTAAGATAATTATCAGGTAAGGATGTTATAAAAATACATTCACATATTGCTGGTAAAGGCATAGACTTTTATCTTTTCAGAAAGCACTGTCTCCAAATACTGAAACATGTCTAACATAAAAGAATGGTTAAATAAGCTACAATCACTTGCTATAATATTATGAAGCAATTTTTAAAAGTTAGAAAAGACAGCATCAAAGGAAAGTACTTAACGATATAAGAATACAAATTAAAAGGTTAAAAAGTTTTTAAAAATCCAAGGAAAAAAAGAATAAATAAGAACACATTATGTTTTAGAGAAACTATGCAATCTCTGGCCCACTAGGTTAACTTGTAGGCATGGAATTAATTCCCCCTAGGTCATTTAGCCCGATGACAGAACTAGCCTACCAACAGACCTCTACCTTACTGATGGTATACTGAAATAAACCTTCCCACCGCTGTGAGAATCGTTTACATAAAAACATTAAAATGAATGTGCCACTGCCCTGATTCAAACTCTTCCATCAAGCAGCTCAGGAAGTCACAGAAAGGCAATACTTGAATAGTGTATCCAAATAGACCAAACTGTTTTATACCTCTTATATGCAAGTAATCTGCTTTACTTTCCACTTCTACACCTTATTTGCCTGGCTAACTCCTTTTCAAGCTTTGAGACTCAGCTTCAGATTTCCAGGCTGGGTTGGGTGCCTTCTCTCTGTTCCTATAATAAAATAAGCCTTGTCTATATTTCCATCTTGGCATTTACCACAGTATTAAAATTCTCATTTAGGGTCTGTCTCCTTCATTACTCTGTTATCTGGCTGATATGAACTAAGTATGACAAAATTCATCTACCTGAATCATATAACATGTAAAATTACAGTAAAGACTGGGAAGTAGAAAAACACAGTAGAGGCAGCACTAAGAGACTTACTTGCATTTTGGAGTAACTCACTATTAGCCTACATTGAATGAGGGCTTACTTCCTATGTAATGTGTTAACTATTAGTAATATAAAGAAGAGTAAGATATTGATCCTGACCTCGGGTAAGTATGTCCTCTAGAAGAGAAAATTTCTGGCAAAGCACTTCAAAAGGCAAATGAAGAGCAGGTAAGCTAAACAGAATGAACAGCAGGCACATATGCATTTTCAAGTATACTTCTTATATTTCCATCTAGATTATAGGTGAGTTATACTCATCTCTGCATCTCTCCTAGTGATTCTTACATAATTATTCCCTTATTAAGAACGTATTTATGATATATTCTATAGATGTTTATAAGATATCACAAGCATGTGTATTGATAAGATAGAAAATACTAAATAAAATCAGCAGATAAATTATCTTTAACATCAGAAAATAATTCTGAAGTATAATTACTCACTGCTACTTAAAGACTTTTTAGTAATAAGACCGTGTAGATATGAAAAAGGTGAGGGAAACTGTGAGAAAAGAACACAAATCATACATAATGATCATCTATGTGAAAATTCTATATGTATACTGACAATAGCTGAAAGCAGCCAAAGGTAGATGTAACCATTACGGTTTTGAGTATGGGTTAAACACACAATTTTAAGATATCACAACTTCACTGGTTTCCTTGTTTCAAATATTCAAAAAGCAGATTCTCTGTTTATGTAATTTTTGTATAACACAAGTCTTCTCAGTCAACCTCAAGTATACTATAAGCTGGCTTAATAAAAACATTTTGTAATATATGGTAGTCAAGTGTAAGATTAAGGCATTTGGCCTTGTAAATGAAAAACCTGATGTTGCTATGTCTCATTTGCAGAGCTTTATCTTTAAAGAAAAAGGAAATTTTGAGATAATGATCTGTATATCTGAATCAATGCTGACATTACCTGGCATAGCATTCCCACTTATGTCAGCATTCATGACAGCAGTGAAAACAAAGAAAAATAAACATTAAAGGAGGATGCTTAAAAGAAGGGGAGATGTAAAGCAAAGATTTATTCTGCAATGTAAATAACATTCCCTTGAAAAATAAATCTAAGAAAACTAAAGTTGGCTAGAAATCTACATTGAATATCACTGGTCAGACTAGTTAATCCTAATTAAGGGTTCTAATTTTTATAGCAACCCTTTATATCTTCTGAATATGTAGAGATAGCTGAGAATTCAATATCCCATTTCATATGCAACTCCTCCATTGTTTGGTATCTTTAACATCCATTATAGCACAAAAGTAGTAACCTACAGTCTCTAGAATATAGCTATAGAGTAGTAAACACTTCTCCAGAAATTAAAATTTTTAAGAAATTAACTACAAATTTTTCTTAGTATTAACTGTACTCTAATTAAGTAATTTAGAAACTATATATTGACTAAACTCTTCTTGTTCAAGAGCCTTTGATTTTCAAGATGATAGTGGTTTAAAAAGCTATAAATTTTAAAGTATCAATTGCTATAGATACTTGATAAAAAAAATGCTAGGAAACAGTTTAAGTACTAATATAGCTCCTCAAGTACATGGCTCTGGACACCATGGATCTTAAAGCATGAACTATCAATTGTATGTGCATAAAGATTTGTACTAGCATGATTTGAATAGAGCTAACTGAATTAAAATGAACAGCCCACCTATACATTAAACTCATACTGACAGAGACAAAATTTTTCTTGTTCTTAAGATTAACCAATTAAACATTTTACTTTGGTATAGAACTCAGCACCAGTGATCCTCTGAAGAAATCAGTCTATTCAAAAAATCTTCCATCAGCTATAGACCCAACGAAAACTTCTGTTGGTGAACAACTAAGGACTTACCATATCAGCAATTATAGTAGCGAAAGTTAATATTTGTAATGATATTCTAATATGATTAGCTAATTTAAAAATATCCAGATCATAATTTATCTTGAAACATTAGTTTCCTCACAGGAGCTAATCCACCCAACATGCATCTCCCAAAACCCACTAGGCCCACCCTCCCAATCCAACCATACCTACCTTTGCCTTTACCCACCACTTTCACTATACCCCTTCTCAAAATGCACACAGAGCATTATTCAGTGCTGTGAATAATTGTTATAAAACTACTTGGTGTTTCGACAGATTGTTCAAAATCAGAGAAGAAGCTGTGAGAAACAGATGCAACACAGGAGAGCTCACCCTAAGGGCAAATGTTCAGCAAAGCCCAGGAAGCCCAAGTGAAATCCACCTTCCACCCTTAAAACTGCCCCCAAAAGTCCTCATTTCATGTTGTAATACTCTCTGAGATTTCACCAATTGGGGATTTTTTGGTATCACTTTTAAAAATGTGAAGAGATTCATCAGAGTTAGAGAGATTCTGCACTATTTGGATTTTGTTTCAATTAACTTAATAGGGCTGCTTTTCTCCTATAACCAGCTGAGAGCAATAGCACCACTGGAACTGGAAATGCAGACTGAAGGATCAGTGAAGTAAGCCAATGATTAAGTATAAACCCTTGGGAGGGAGTAGCTAGTGTGGAAACCTCACAATACTATGGCAGCATACTGTAGCGGGAAGAACATGGACTCTGAACAGCCCTGGACTTAAATCTAGTTCCACCACTTATCATGTGACCTTAGTCAAGTAACTTAATCTCTTTGCATCTCAATGTGCTCTACTATAAAATAAAAATACTTCCCCACAAGGCTGTCTTTTATTAGAGTGGCACAAATGTCTCACATATAACAGATTCTCAGAAAATGCTAGTTTCCTTTTCCATGTTCATTACAGAGGCAAGAACAAAAAGGCACCAAAGAAAAGAAAGAAGTAAACTGAGTATCAAAAAGAGTGCCAAAGAGGAACTCCTGAAATTCCTCTTTGAAAACCAGGTTCAATCAAGAGAATGTAAGAAAACATTTTTTTCTTTTCTCCACCCCACTCCCATTCTTTCTTCATGACCATACTATCTTAGTCCTAGGATTCAAAACTCATATAGTACTACTAAATTTGTAATAATACACTATCACCTGTTTATATTATATAAAGATAAAATAGATCTTGGAAGGTGGACTGAGAACCAATCTTTCATTCCATTCAGCTCAACAAATATTAACTGAATGCCTTTTATGGGTAAGGTATGTCTTAGGTGATCAACAAGATGTGGAGGAGAATGCAAATCCTTGCCTGTAAGGAGTTAGTAGTTTTAACCTTTCTGATTTCAGAGAATTTCATAACATTCATCCTTGGGAAACCCAATCAGTTCATAAGTTAGGGACATTTAAATGTTCTTTATCACTATAAACAGCATGCTAGGGCATAAAGGAGAGGCTACAGGAAACTGATGGCTGTTTTCTGGGTTTTTTTTTTTTTTAAGATTCTACTTTTATTATTAGTGAAATTTTCATTAATCGTTGAATTTTTAAGCAAAAAATTACCTGCCAAAATTTCGGTGTTTCGTGCAGCTATTGTTTTAACTTTTATTATTCCTGATTCAGCAGCCTGCAAGAATAAAAATAATTAGAACATAAAACTTACTATCAACATGAATTATCTAGGGAAAGAAATCATATATGATCACTATTGTCTTTTTTTATTTTCAAAAACTTCAGAAACTAAGCCTAGTAGTGCCATAAACATTAAATGTAGTAAAATATGATTCATTTGATTATTCACATGCAAACTCGGCACTAGAGTATGTTGCCTTTCTCTGCCTAAGGCACATCTAACCCCTCATGAATTAAAATGTTCATAAAATATAAAAATAATAAACAAAAACAAAGCCTAATGAAAAAAACTAGGTTTCTCTTCCCCATTTCATACCTCCAACCCCACCATTAAAAAAATTGCAAAACACTGCAAAATCAAGTAAAACTGTTTTGGATTCAAAGAGAATGAGTAATCAAGAATTTTGTCATTACTTTGTTTCCATTTTTTTAAACACCCATTAGATTTTCATAAGGCACCTAAAACACTGCATCATAGGTACAGTTAGCTGGCAGCATTTGGAAGTTATACAGCATTTTACACAGTGCTACAAAACTGTGCTGTCCAATACAGTAGCCATTGGCTACATGCCACTATATGAGGTTAATCTGAATGGAGCTGTACTCTAAGTATAAAATACGCATCAGATTTTGAAGACTTAGTATGAAAAGTAAATGTAGGCTATCCCTTAAATATTTACACTGATTAAATGTTGAAACAATATTTTGAATATATTAGGTTAAATTATATACTAATAAAATTAAATGCCTATTTCTTTATATTTTTAATGCAATTTAAAATTACACATATGGATTGATTGCATTTGTGGTCCACATTATATTTCTATTGGACAGTGTTGACATATAACACTGATATATAACTTCCACCATGGAAACTAAGAACATTTTTACTATCAAGAAACATGCCTATTTTATACTTATACTGGTCTCCACACTTCCAAAAATAATATATAAATACTCATGTTATATGTCTAAGTTTTCCTATTAATTTGCTTGCTACTTGCTCTCTTATTTTGTTATCTCTTACTGCTTGCTAAGGGACAAGTGATAGCAGGTTCTAAAGGTTTAAAAATCATTATGGAAAAACACCCGTGTCCTGTGGGTTCTTAGTGTGAGGAGCAGCAGATAAATGCATAAAATAAATACCATATTGTAGGCTATACTATGTATAGTATATGATCTTTGTCATTTTGTTGGTTTCCAAGCATGTGAAGACCTTGCCTGTGTCTGGAGATTTCCCAACTTCATGAGTTTTGATGCAAGATAGAGCTTATCTTCCACTCTTAAAAATGAAAAATGCCAGATACTTGCTTTCCCACATGCCCTGGGAGCCTATTCTAATCCAAACAGACACACCTAGCAGAGATTGTGAATATGGAGGCTAATAACAAAGAAAAGCAGAGACAAGAGAAAATTCTTTCTGATGACAGCAATAGTGGAGGTGACAGCTACTTCCCAGGGCAGTAAGAGCAGAACCAGTGGCAGCACCGAGCGGCCAGTGCCATCTCAGGTATCCAGTCACTTGTTCGGCAGAGAACAGCAGGTTCTAGCTGTTTAGCTTCCCTTTGTTTCTGCACTTTTTCTAAAGCTGGCCCCATCCAGCCTTCTACCAATTATGTGAGCCACTCAATACATATCAGTAAACTTCATTTCTGCTAAATCAGCCAGAGTCGGGGGCGCCTGGGTGGCTCAGTCGTTAGGCGTCTGCCTCCGGCTCAGGTCATGATCCCAGGGTCCTGGGATCGAGCCCCACGTCGGGCTCCCTGCTCAGCAGGAAGCCTGCTTCTCCCTCTCCCACTCCCCCTGCTTGTGTTCCCTCTCTCGCTATGTCTCTCTCTGTCAAATAAATAAATAAAATCTTAAAAAAAAAAAAAAAATCAGCCAGAGTCAGCTTTCATTGCTCAAAATTAAGAAGCCTGATACATTAGGAGTTACTTCTACAACTTTAAGAAATGGAAATGTCCCAAATTAAATGAACATGACTAGAAGCAGAAATATAGGCAAAATAAAATTCTTCAGGGAAAGATGACTGATTTTCTAATTATTTGGGGCAGAAACACCAAAGGCTTAAAAAAAATCCTGATGCCCAGATTGCAACACATTCCAAGGAATGCCAATGGAAGCTAGGCATCAGTATTTTTTCGTATCTTCAGGTGAGTCATCATTTTCAAGCTCTTCCCCTCTTCACTACTGACCATTTGAACCCCTTATATGTTCAAATTCAACATCTTTCTCCTTCAGCATCAACAAAAATTGGTCTAACTGAACCATCATAAATACCAATGTCATTTGTCCTGACTCTGAATTCTAGCTAGTCTGACCTTAACAGTTTCCAAAATCAGTCCTACGGCATGCCAGATACCAGATGTCAGTAAAAGATTTCAAATTTGCCAGACACTATTTTGATTCCCTGAGATAAATTAATAGTCTATCCATGTCTGTGTCATAGAGAAGTATAAACAAGTATAAATATATAAGCTGTAAAGCGTATAAAATGCTTACAATTATTTTTACACATACACAATAAGGAAAAGGAATAAGAAGTGGGTTTTTTTAGTACAATAGTTCCAAAGTAGTGTAAGAGATACATAACCAGTATTTTCATTCCTAAACATAAAAAATCACCACAAGGATTATTTGTTGCCTTAGAGATAATTAGACCTATCTCAAGAGTTCCCCATTTTTTACACACAGGTTTCTACTCTCAAACTTTGAAAATATAACAGCTTATTCCCTAGGCACCCTGTGTGGCTGGAAAGTCTATCAGTGTTTACTGACAACATTTGTATACCAGGGGCCCCTTAACCACTGCAGTCTTACTTCATACACAGGCCTAGCTACATCTTCGAGAGTGTCTTTTATAAATGGAGGTATTCAGACTCAGATTGCCTTCTGCTTATCAAGGATAGTCTATGTGAAGAATAGTCTTTAAGTTCTTGCTTTAAAAGTATCCTCTACTCTGATCAGGTATCTTGTATATCCATAAGGAAACTACTCAACTATAAACACAGGCTTTTTTTTTCCTGAATTGGCCCTCGTGCCAATTAAAAAAAAAAAAGTTGCCATTTCTGTGGACTTGGATAGAGATCGCATAGGTTAAGGTGGGTAGTCTAATATCTCTATTCCTGGGGGTAATCTGAGTTAGGAAAAAAACACTAAAATTAAATACACTGTAGTATTTAATACTTTTTACTCTTAAAATTAATCTCTCTCAAGTAATATTTTTTCTTTTTTTCAATATTCTTTGCTTACCCAAATAGACATACTCACCAGGGACTTTGGCACAGAAAAACAGAGACAAAGAGAATGTGGACTCCTCTCCCAAGACCATCTAGAATATCCTTGGCCTCACTTCTCTTTCAATAAACCCTTCCTGGGCAATCTCATAATTCCATGGTTTCAGCAACTTTCTAAATGCTGAAGACTCCTAAACTATATTCCTGTCCTTGCCTGTCTCCCAAACTATAGGACTTATTAACCTAATGTTTAAGAGGCACCTTAAATTCAAGATATTCAAAATAGGTGTCATCTTGTCCCTCCCTCCACACACTTCCACTTCAACCCCAGAAAAACTTGTTTCTCCTCCCTATAATTAATCTCTCTTTTTCTGAACAGCAGCAGCATCCATCCAGTCACTGACTAGACATCTGTAGTTTCTCCCTCATCCCACAAATCACATCAACCACAAAGGCTATGTAGTAAGCATATCTTATCCTTCCTTCTCAAACCCCACTTCTGCACCTTAACTCAAACTTCTCATTATCAACCTAAACTATGAGATTTCTCTGCCTATAATCTTGCCCTCCATTCCTCCACTGATTCAAATTTTCCATGGTTCCCCAGCACCCATCCCTACCAGTGTTTCTCAAAACTGAGTAGTGTAAGGACATCCTTTAAAAGGAAAAAAAAAAAAAATCACCTCATAGACCTACCCAGTTACTGACAAATCTAAGCATGTATAAATCAAATTAGGAATAAACTCCTTATTTTACAGCTCTTAAATTGTAAACCCAATAAATTCACAAGTTATATACAAACCCAAATTAACACTAATTTAATGTGACAAATAATGCTTTGCTGAAATTAAACCACTGCTGACAACATAAAGATAATTGTAGACTTATGGAGTGAGCTCTCCTGATTTTGGCACTCTTATAGTGCCATAAGCAAAGACAAAAATAATTTCTTCCATCAACTTTTTTCTGTGGCAACTATCAAAAAGCTTTTCCATCTTTGTGGGTTATCTATGATTTGTACCTGTAACACTTTATCCCAATCATCTCATTACATGTCTGTTCCTCCATTCTAGTATAAGCCCCATAAGGACAAGAAATATATTCCATTCATCCCTCCATATTACTAATGCCTAACACAGTGCCTGGCATACAGGAGATATATAATAAATGTTTCTAAACAAAAACATAAAAAGTTCTAAGTAGAGGAGGAGACTTCATTGCCCACTAATTGAAAAATCCAGAGGAAATGTGACCCAGAGGAAATCTGATGCAGAGATTCACAAGGCCATCAGGGCTGCAGTTCCACTTCTCTGCCATTCTGTTGGATCTGTCCCGTTCCATGGTAGGTGCATCCTTGGGCCGCTTCCAATCTTGGCAATAAAAATAGTTGCAGCCATTCTACACCTCACAATTTATATGACACCATCTATCAGAGAAAGGTCTCTTTCAGTAGCTTTTAAGAAAGAAAGAGGAGGGGTGCCTGGGTGGCTCAGTTGGTTAAGCGGCTGCCTTCGGCTCAGGTCATGATCCCAGGGTCCTGGGATGGAGGCCCGCATCGGGCTCCCTGCTCAGCCGGGAGCCTGCTTCTCCCTCTTCCTCTGCCTCTCCCCTTGCTTGTGAACTCTCTCTTTCTCTGTCAAATAAATAAATAAAATCTTTTAAAAGAAAGAAAGAAAGAAAGAGGAAAGTCCTTGCCCAGGAGCACTCACTGGCATTATGTAACTTGGGACGAAATGAAGGTGAGGATGGTGGGGGGTGG